GAAGTGGATTAATTCATAGAAGTTTCTGACCTGAATGTCCAAATGTTGCTACCGGGCCAGACTGCATCACAGATCACATCAGATGCTCCACCCTCTTCTTGCTACTGCCCATTTAAGGGAATAGCAAGTCTTACCTGTTAGTCATCGTCGTCATCATCCTCTGGGACAAAAATGTCATGCTCCTCAAGTAGAGCAGCAAAGTTCTTGCTAATAAGCGTCCCAACATACAGAAAGGGGATCACAATGGAGAACACACGGAGAAGGCCAAAGGACATCTGCAGAGGGTCAGAAGGGTGGCTGTGAGCTCCAGAGCCCAATTTGACAGGAGCATTTGCTCCTGTGGACCTCAAACCCATCCTAAACAACCTGATTTTAAGCCTTTGGAAAAACTCAGAGCAAGAAAAATAAAAGAAGATAAAAAAGTGATTGTTGTGATCATGAAAAAAGATACTACTAAGAAAAGTACAAGGCAGTCAGACATCTAAAAACTAGGCACAACCTGCTAATTATTTGTAGCTACTCTACAATCAGGTGAGAAAGTACTAAGAGGACTGAACTAAGATCAACACTTCTTAAAGAAGACACTACACACGTGAAAATTAATTACAAGACAAGGTATGGCTATGGGATGTTCTATACAGTTCAGATAACAGGCTCTCTGATACCTAACAAAGTTGATTTCACCACATAAAATTTCAGAAACAGCTTGTTTGAAAAATGGGCACGTCTTTACAATGGAATAGATGGATCCCAGAAGTTCACCAACATTTCCTCTCCTATTTTCCTGGAGTTAAAATCACTTTGAGAAGCTGGAAGCTGTGACATGCTTCTGTAATCCCAGCTACTCAGGAGGCTAAAGCAGGAGGACAACAATTCAAGGCCAGCCTGGGCAACTTAGACCCCGCCTCAAAATAAAAAAATGTAGATCAGTGATAAGGTGCCCCTGGGATCAATCCCCTATATTGGGGGTGGGGTGGGGTGATGAGGGTGGAGGTGTGCTGGAGATGTAACTCAGTGGTACAGCGATTGCCCTTTGCCAGAGGCCCTGGGTTTGAGCCTCAACCTGTGAGTGCGGTTGGGTGGTGTTCAATTGTCAATTATGCCTCTTTGTAAGACAGCAGCACTTTCTTTCCGGTCTTGCTGTGAAACCAGTCTACGGTTAATTGTGTGAATTAGCATGGGCCAGACCAGCTTTCAAGAACTGTTTTTTAACTCACACAGCCCTGCAGTCAGAAAGCAAACTTTTGCTTGGTATAAATGGCTATTTCTATTATACTTAGAAAGACCCAAGGATACTACTAACTGACAGCACTCGGTGGTGGGAAAAAAAAAAAAAAACAGGATCTGGTCGGGGCTGTACTAAGCAAAAAACATGGATGCGAGGACCTAACTTGGCTGTCAGCCTAGGATATTGGCCACCACCCTGGTTCTTCATATACTAGGTCACGACTAATGGGTCCCGTCCCACGTTCCCCTGATGCAAAACTCCTTCACGACTCGTTCTTTCACCCCATCAATTGCGCGCAGAGACTGCATAATCCGCCTGAACTCGATGCACAAAGCTGTCTTCCGGCCCAGAAAAACGGGCACCGTACTTCTCCCGATAAACTAGCGCAAAATACAGCTTTCACCCTTCAACCCCAGTCTCCAAACCCGGCTCAACATGGGGTTTTAAACAACATCTCCCCCGCCCCAAACAAAACCGGCAGCCCGTCAGCGCAAAAATTTGTCCTTAGCCGCCTTCCAGTCTACAGCGATCCTTTGATTGGCCTCTGTTCCTGCCGATCAGCGTCGGCCCGTACACACTCCCCACAACGATTGGCTTCAGCCCCTTCGCCCCGCCTCCAGGCAGACACTCACTTTCACAGGTTTGGGCAAAATGGCGCCGCTGCGGGTAACGATGACTGACCTCGACGGTACCAGGCTCCGACCTGAGCTGCCCCGTGTGGCGGAGACATCGCCACCTTTCTTCAAGATCGGCCCACTCCGGGTAACCCCGCATCGGACAGGTGCTAACGCCAGCCAGCGAGCTGCTCCGGACGCCATCTCCCAGCCCCGCCCCTCGCCCGGGCACCAGTACCCCACAGTCGGGCCTCTGTGCCGCCCTCACGCAGAACGCCACCCCAATCTCGCGAGACGTGAGGGAGAACGCGAGAAGCCCAGGCCTGACACTTGCGCAGTGCCCCCAGTTCCTGTGGTGGTGGAAAGAGGCGTTTGTCTCCCGCCCGACGTGGTGACGTCACGAGAACGATACAGAAGTCCCCCTTTGCCCCTCCCGCGGGGCCCTGGTCGGCCGCAGTGAGTTCTGTGACTTTCTTTGTTCCCGGAGGGGTCACTGAGAGTGTGTTGAAATAAGCTTCAGGAACCAAAATGAGTAATAATGAAAAAACTTTACTCATTGAATCTTATAAAAAACACTAACAACGGGCGGGAGTGGGCTGAGGTCTGGGACACGGGGCTGGAAAAGAGGCGGGGCCAAAGTGGACCTGGTGGGAGTTAGGCCCGCAGCAAAGCCGAGGTCCCTAACCTAACTCAGCTTCTGCCATCAGATACTGGCTTCGCAGCTCCAGCCCTGATTCTTCATTTCTAAAAACATTGTAATAACCAAGATGAGTAATAACTTTTTTTAAAAAAAGCTTTAGTGTTTTAATTGTATATATATATTTATGTTTAAAAAAAAACAGTAACAAAGGTAACAAAGGCCTGTAGTATCTGTGTATAAAATAAAGTGCAGGTGGGCCGTAGGGCTCCCGTACAGGGCTGGGAACAAAGCAGGGCAGCAGTGGTCCTGGGCCTAGGGCCGCATCTCAGCCTCCTGAAGTCTGTCTTCGGCCCACTTGGGCTTAGTCCAGCCAAGTGAAAGGGAAGCAAGGAAGGGGGTGTCTGTCACCAGGCCCTGCATCTTCCCACCACTCACTGCCGCTATACCTTTAAGGTGACAGGCTGGGCTGGCCTTTGGCTCTGTAGTCCCAGCAGTTTTGCCTTCCAGACAAATAGAAAAACATTTTGCACCACTGCTGGGAAGAGCAGCAATGAGGATTCCTGAAGGTAAAGTCCTGGGAACTGTGACAGAGTTCCCAGGTGGCTTTAGGAGGAGGAGTACCTTTATGGGAGCCCAGCCAGGAGAGTGGGATTTATCACATGGTACTGAGAATCCTAAGCTTCTAGAATACCCAGGACTGAGGACCAAAGAAACAAACTGGCCTTCCCCAGGGGCCACCCTGCCTCCCTGCCTCTTCTTTACTTCCTGCTGGGCAGTACCAAGAGCTAGCTGGCTGCTGAGGACTGAACACAGGAAAGGTTTTTGCTGACATAAAAGCCCCTCCCAAGGCAAAGTTCAGCATTATCTGGTGGTTTGGTAGAGGAGGAGTAAGAAGTCACTCTATTTAGCTAAAGGCTGTTTCCTACAAAGGACCCTACCCAAACTATGGGGGGAAAGGGGTCCCGTGCCCAGTCTTCCTATCCCTCTCAAGAAAAGCTGGGCCCAGAAATCCCTATAACACAATAAATTGATTTTCACTGACAATGTTAGCCCCTAAGCTAATACTGCAGGCAGCCTCTGGCATTTAAGTGCACACGAGACTCCTGTGTTGGAAATTATGGCTAGAGTCTGGTGTGTAGGTGAAAGGTAGGGCAGCCCCTCTTCCTGCATTTCATTAATATCCCCTGAGAGAGGGGCAGTCCTGTCAGAGTCAGGAGACAGGTTTGCTCTGGGGCGATCCGTAAACCACCTTTCCTTTCTGGGTTTCAAAAAGTCAGGGGGTTGGAAGCCATAATTCCTCAGTCCCCTGTAGGCACAGGGAGAATGTAGAACCTGGAAGGCCTAAAAAAATCAGGAGGGAAGGAACTCCCCTCCCCCCAAAAGCAACCTTGGAAGTGAGTAAACATTTAACTCCTTGAAAAGCACTGGCTGCAGTGTCCTGACCAGCAGGACAGGGCCAGGACTAAAGGCCCAGGCTACGGGCCTATCCTATGGCTTGCATTCTGGCGGGCTCCCCAGGACCCTTTGCTGCCACCCCCGCCTCAGTTCCACAATCTCCTGACCATACCAGTCGTGGAGGGTAGAGAAGCAGGAGGTCTCAGGGGACACAGGGCTCTGCCCCTTGCCTAGGAGGAAGCTGGCAGGGCCCTGCAACTCCCACTCAGCCAAATCCCGCCTTGCTGGTCTGCTGCCCCCTTCTTCACTGGAACCCATGGGGCTGCAGTCACTGGGGAGAAAGTGTCCATTCTCTGGACTTGGAGACGAGTGGTTGGGAGCCTGTGGCTTACAGCGGCTGCCAGCCACCTTCCGGGTGGCACAGCGGTGCAAGGCCAGGCTCTGGCGAGCTTCCTGCAATTGGCCTTCCAGCTCACGGACCACCAGGCGCATGTAGCCAAAGCTGGCCCGGGACAGCGCCTTTACCCAGGCCTCTTGGGCCGCTTGCCCATCTGCTGCCAGCAGGTGTGGGCGCACTCCTGGGGCGTCAAAGCGGATGGCAAAGGCGAACTCCTCAGGCACCGGAGCCTCGGCCAGTTCCACGGTGCAGCCCTCCAGCACAACCAGGCTCAGCGGGACCCGGCCCTCGCGGCTCTCAAAGGAGAATAGCAGATTGCCCTTAAGGACAAACCAGCATCTTCGGCCCGTGCCACTGGGGGTGGGTGGGGTCCCTGGACCCCCCCAAGTGCGTAAGAAGCCTGTGTGGTCTGCGGGGGAGTCACTCAGTGCGTAGTGGGTCACACTCCTCTTGTTAAGCTTCATGGCTCCCAAAAAACTGAGGAGAGGGAGATGGTTGCAGATTAGAGAGGGAGGCAGCCCCAGGGGGAAGGACCTGGCCCTGCCTTGTGGCCCTGCTCACTGACTGCATCCCAAGGCTCTTAGTCTTCATATATGAACTGGGCCGGTCTTCCCTACCTTTCTCTCAAAGGGATGTTGTGAGAGGCCAAAAAGTGGACATCCAATGACTCAGGAGAAAGGATATTGCAATTGTAGAGCAGAGGTGTGGTGGGACATTGACATGGTTTTTTAAAACCCAAAGAAATAGGCCCTAGCGTGGCTGAAACAGACGCCAGCCAAGCCCATGGAAACAATTCTGCTTCAATCACCCCATGAACTTGCAGGCCTCTCAACTCCAGTTCTGTGGACAGCCCTCCAGAGTCCCCATTGACTCTTCCTGGCCTCTCACTGTATGGCACAGTTGTCCTTCACCGGGAATCTGCAGCCTTCGGGGCCAGATAGGTGCAGGGGGCGGGGAGGCAGGCCTGCTTCACAGTGAGGTTCAGAGAAGATCTACTCTGTAAGCAGGAGTGTGGTCCAAACTCAGGGTCTGGCTGAGAAGGGCCTGCCACAGCGGCTGAATGCTGTTGCCCAAGGATCATATAAGGCACTTAATCCCAGTGTCTTCCTTATTCATGGAAAACGGTGACAGCATTGAAGAGGAACTGCCCAAAATCACATGACCAGTGAGAAGCAGCCCTTGCTTTGCCTATTCTCTCACACCTTCTGGGGGCGGGGGAGTCTCAGGTGATGATGCACTTACCAAAATAACTCACAAGGAGAGGGCAGTCGCCTCCTCTCTGGCCACACAGCTCAGCCACCTGGTTCCCAGGGGGCCTGCAAAACAATTCTCAAATGATGAGAATTCCTACTGTGAACTGGGGCAAAGCAAAATGACCATATCCACCAAGAAGCCCTCCCTGCCCCTTGGTAATCCCCACCCATTGACCCATTGACCCATTGACCCAGACCTGGCACACTCCCGGGTCTGGGTCCCACAGTCTTGACCTTCACTCTTCTCAACTCCCTGCCCTCTGAGACTAGGTCAGAGGTAAGTGCCCCCATAGCTTCCTGCTTTCCCTTCTGACACTTTGTGGCCTTTAATTTATGTCACCTAATTAGAGAAGCCTTGCTGGATTACCAAACCCAAGGGAGGTCCTGATCACCAAGGTGTCTGACAGAAGGTTTCCTTCATCCCATAAAGATCCCATTTGCAGGGCTGAGTTTGTGGCTCAGTGGGCACTGGGTTCTTTCCCCAGCACTACATAAACAAAAAAACTAAATGCAGCGATTAAAAAAAAAGTTCCATTTGCAATTTCAGCACTGTCCCCAACCCTAGAATGTCCAGGGCTGTATCCAGTGTGGCTCCACTGATGAGCACTGTGCCTGGCTCCTAAAGCCCTCAAGAAGTGGGTTATTTCCAGGCGGGGCAGTGCCCACCTGTAATCCTGCAATCCCAACAACCCGGGAGATTGAAGCAGGAGTGCA